TGTGATGTGACTATTTATTTTCGTTAAATGACATCAGCTGATCGAAATTGTTCATGGCGAAATTTCCATAAATAACGTAGTGTGTACTAAAACAACTTTGCTAACTAGTTTCATACCATTAACTGAATCCAACCTTCAAATATGACCACACCTTTCTGTTACACCCTGTATATATATATATCCGTAACTACGCACACGCGAGCACATACACATACACACACACACACACACACACACACACATACACAAACACACACACATAATACAACACGCACTCAGGGTCAAATATCTTTTACGTGCAAAAAAATTTTTTTTTTTTTTTTTATTTAATTTTAATTTAAGTTTGATCTTTTAGGTGTATATAGTTCAATAATGTCAAATGTATTTTTTCGCTATTTAAATGTTTTTCTTTTATAAACAATTAATCTTAGTTAATACCTTAAGATTGTCATGTGTCATTTCCAAGGGTGAGAGCCTGGTGACTTGTAGTACAGGCGTTAAGCCTTTAACAAGCACCAGCTCCCAAAAATAAGTTATTGGATGTATCTTAATTACTAAGATCTATATGTACGTATTTTTGTGGAGGAATAAACGTTATTATTATTATTATTATTACTATTATTATTATCGTATTTATTTTAAACTCTCGCCTATTATTATTATTATTATTATTACTATTATTATTATTATTATTATTATTATTTAGACAAGTTTAGACACGATAAAGATGCTTCTGGATATACTTAATCCCCGCAACCCCCTCGTTTACTCTATGTTGCGTGCTCATATCCGACATAATCACCCTCAGTTTTTGTTTAAAACCAGTTTTGGTACTGTAAAAAATCGATGTTGAAAATCAGACCTTGCTTCGTTAACAATTTGGTATATTTGAATGTGACAATTGTGAAAAAGTGTGAAAATGTCCTTGGCTTTACAGTAGGTTTATTCTCGAAGTATGATGATGAAGTGAGTATATAATCGTATAAATACTTCCACTTACGTAACGGTGTAGTCTAAGTTTTATTGCAAAGTTGTATCATACCGCTCAAAACTTCTGAAATTATAACTAACTCTTAGCGCAACTCCTGCCGGTTGTTTATAACTTCTTCTAGCTGGCAAAATGTTATCGTTTTCTGTCAGTGTTCGATGTTTTACGTCATTTTTCTGTTTATACATTATTCCTGCTTTTGATAATACGAAACACGTTAAAAATAGGACCAGTACATATGTGAATTGAAGTGGTTGATACATTTTCATGTTGCCCTGGTACTTTTGTTATAAAATGTTTTTCTTTTTGTTTTTTGTTGAAACCAGGTATGGCAGACAATGTAAATTGACTTCTCGGTATTATATAAGTCTAACTACTTTGGTCCTTCCTTCCACATTATCCTCTAAATTTCGCAATTTCAGACCAAACTGGTCTTCCCATCTGGAGCTCCGTTCTATAAATTAACTTAATGAAGTTTCTTCTCTACTACTTTCTCCGCTGCTTCAGGTGATTAATACTCTAAATTAACTAGTGGACGGTGCAGTCTCAGATGTAGAACCAGGCAATCGTTCTAGACACTAAACCGATTCAAAAAGAGATTCATCGTTTGTGCAATAAAAAAAATTCATTGTTTGGTAATTAACAAATCTAATTAGACTAGACGCATTCTACTGTTATTTGATAAGTCTGGATTGCTTCGGTAATAATAGCTTGGAGCTAGAATAATGACGTAAGTGTATATATGTGATTTTAGATATAATGATCCCTAGTATCGAGTTTACATTACGAGGCGCGCTTATGCTGCGGGATGCGGGGAACTCGGCCAGCCGACACTAACAAATGGTATGTTCAACAAATAGAAAATTTGTCGAATTTAAGAATTGAAATATCATATTGATAAGCGTCTGTATAAATTTTAAATATCATTATTAATATGATTGAGATAATTATTATACAAAAAAGTGATATGCAGCCTGTTGCTTTCTCCTTTTCCCATCGTAGTCTTTGATATATTACGAACAGTGGATTGCAATGTATTGCTACTATGTATAGCAAATACTTAAAAGGTATACTGAAAAAGCAAACAACAAGCAATACCTCAAATTGATCGATGGGATCAAAGTCAAAGAATCATTTATTTACGTAAAATAAATTTATACTTGGAAACGTCACATTTAATCTACTGTTCGTTCACTACGCTGACTTCCTTGAGAAGAACAAGCAAGAAACTCTAGGGATTGCTCTTTTCAAATAAACTTAAATGCTATGGAATACACTTTTAATCAAATTTGTGTGGAATCTAGAGTGTCGTCTTTCCATACATCTTTATCTAACACAAAGTAGTTTTTAAACTTAGGAAATGATAATCTTAATATATGTTCCAGAATCTTAATGTAAAAATGTATACAATTCCCCATAAAAAAGTCGATTACCTTGCTATAACGAAATCGTGACACCATGAGTTCGCACTTAGCTCTTAGGTTAATATTGTGGAGATCTTCTTTCTTACTGAAAGTATGTTTATTTTTGCGGGCATATAAAATATTTGAGTAAATGTACCGCGATGCCACAGTCATCATACCAATCTCCTTAAACTTTTCCAAACCAAACTTTCTTAAGCACAAATCATGTGAGAAATATTTCTTGGTTGTTGTAGTACTGTCAAGTAGTCTCAAGTTTAATTTGATTACCCTGACGGGTAGTATCTACAAGGCATTCCTTAGTTTGACACCGGGTAACAATTGGTTAGTAACGGTTCACTTTGAACTTGAAACCCTTCCCTCTAAGCAGTGAATGTAAGGTTCTTTGTAATGACCATAGGAACATAGGATTCCTATATCTATGGTAACGACATTGACGTTGGGCATTGCTTAGATTAACAAGAAAGTACCTTTTCTTATCGCATGTTTTCTGTTTCCAAAACCAAGTAAGAAGACTAAATTCTCTCAGCAGGGCTAGCACGAACGACATAAAGCGCGAGATATCTTTGCTTGAATAGCAGTATCTCGCGGTAATCGCATCATCTCGTGCTAGCCCTACTGTTCACATTCTCTCTCTCTCTCTCTCACTATCTCCTCGCAACTATAATCCCCATCAAAAAGCCTCCCATCCATACCTTTAACTTCCATTTCATTCGATAGGAAGCATCCACTACCAAAATGAAAGGTGGTTATAATAAAACTTTTTCGCAATTATTTGTTCATTTATTGCTCATTACTACAAAACAAAGCTACTAATAATAATAATTTTATCCATTCAATCATTGGTAAAGGTACAGGAATAAAACAGCCGTTTTCTTTTTTAAGTCTGTGAATCATATTTCTGAAGTTCCATTTGTCGGAGACATTTGACGAATTCGTAGGCGCGTTCACATGGACACGTTTCCACTGCAATAAAATATATAGAATCGTTAGATAACTACATGAATTAGCACAAACATTTACTAGCTAGGAAGTAGTTTGAATGCAGCATTTAGTCAACAGGTTAATCGTAATGGACGCCAGCTATCTATAGAAAACCAGCGCTACGGCCTAATTACCCCACGCCACGGCCTTCTCCCACGGTCTGTGAAGAGAAGCGGGAAAAACAGTTTTTTTTAATCTAAAAAAAATGGTTTAGGTATTCATTATTAAATATCGGTCTTATAAAAAATATACGATACACCTAAGAAATGTGCTTAATCGTTACACGATACGATGTACTTTACTATATAAAATGCCGGAAACAGGCTAAAATAACAATCTAAAACGAGTTATTTAAGAATGAAATATCTAACTTTACACATAATTTTTATATGGAAATATATCTCTTTGAATACTACAGAGAACCTGCTAAATGGGTTTTGGCCTATTCGGATCCAACGCTGGTCCATAACTTCGAAGGCTTAGTTCTCCATACATACTCCAATAAGCGCCGCCACGCGTGTCGGCCTGAGGCCGTCCAGACTCGTCCGTTTCGCGAGCGCGCGACTGGACAAATCAGCGCGTTTGACATCACGAACCCTGGGAATGCTCCCTTGCCAGGGCTCCGTCACTCGCTCAAGGTTACACGATATGTGCCAAGCGATGAGTGCGCCAATACAAATCCGCATCCGCAGCCGCTCATACAAATCTTTCATTTATGAGCAATCGGCTCCGCACGAAACTGCACACGGCGAGAAACGTCATTTTCACCTCACTAACTCGTAAAGGCTTTCTTTGTCATTACAATTCTGCGCGCACAAGCGCTAACATGGAAATGATTTTTGAAATTCGAACTTGAGAATGGACTGTGGTGCACCAAACTTTTTCATTCGATGGAAAAAAAACATAATAACACGTTCAACTACGCGACTTGTCGCATTACTTATTTATGTAGTATAATTTAACAGCGATAACTAATTATGTTTTTTACATTATTTTAATTCGTCGAAGAACTAAAATAATTTCAAATTCACACAAAATTTTTAGCACAAACAAGAATAAAAATTGATGAGTTGCAAATTCAGAACGCATCCAAAGATAAACTTTTACTTTTGATTTAAAAAAAACTGATGTTTTTTATTTCTCTCGTGAGTTTGGGTGTAATTTGAGGTTGTCTATGTGTGTGTCCACGGTACCCGCAATACAGGGTCTCCCTAGGCGGGCTATGTTGAGTGTGTGTGTTATAATTATTATTATTATTAGTTCAACTGTTTTTCTTTCATCTACCATTTTCCTCATAATAGTGAGGTGAAAAGTTGTGTGTTTCGCTTGGTAGCAAATTTTTTTTATAATTAATAGACACACGCTTGGCCACAATCTCACGATGTGACCGACGATGGTACGCGTTTGCCTTAACTAAATGCCTGTTTACTCTAGCCTTGAATAGCCCCAAAAGTTGTTTTGCGTCTCGTGCTTTGAAACCCTTGCCACGCTCAGATACTGGCAGAAAACCAGCACTGTTTGACTTTTCATGGTGTACAGTATTTATGCTGAGTCAGGGTCTTTTCAGCACAAACTGTTGCAATTTGGTGTGCCCGTAGAAAATTTAGTTTTCTCTTTAAATATGAGTTTATATCAATGTTATATCAATTAAAAATACTAATTTATGTTCTAATGTTTTTGTGTGGCCTTGTGAAGTGGTTGCAAACGTTTCTTTTTGCTTGTTGCTCAATTAACATTTTTATCTATCTTTCTATTTCTTATTAAAAAAAATCCCGACACTAAACACTAAAAACAATCACGAAGACAATACGACAACACGAATTTAAATAACTTCCAAACCTAAGTTTAATGAATATTTATCGTATTTTGTTTCTCTTTTTCGCCAGTACGCATTTTACAAACGCGTACGCTCTGTTGCACAAATCTTCATCTGAAAAATATAACAATTATAAAACATACTTTATTTAACACCTCCAAGGGCCAACGCATATCGGGAGACGGGAAGGTAGAGAATATTAAAATTTACATTCTATGCTATAACAATTATGCGCCGGATTCCACCGTAATGCGCTAGAATCTACCCGTACTGAATCTGACAGAGTACGCCAGAGACTTTTCAACTGTGTGGTCGCTAGTAATACCAAATTAAATCCCAAGGACGGGTAGCATGTCGACGAATGTCGCAACATTTGTAGCATCATCATTCATTGCAACCGCGCGGCGGCCGCGCGACTGTCGCGCTGCAGTCACGCTCGGTTGCAGTCACGGTTAGTAACGTGTACATTTTAATTTTTCAAATTAACCACGATGGATGAAAATACAATTTAAGAATTTATAGAGAATATAAAACAACACCCTGCAATATGGGATATCAGTTCCGCCAGTTATTCCAATCTACTCGATAAAAAAAGGCATGGGAAAATTTATATGTAACATTAATTGACAATTTTGAAATTGAAACTACAACTGAAAAAAACATAGCGGGCGAGTCATTTTTAATAAGGTAAAAGTAATGTTTCTTCGTCAGAATCCATCGCGTAACTGAGTCGAAATATAAAACGTCACTAAAAATTTGGTCCGTCGTTGCTTTGGACCGCCGTATATAAATTAAATAAAGAATGCTTTTACTACCAGAATATTATTTATCTCTGTTATAATTATTAATACAAAGATGGAACACAAATGAAAAATTCCTGCGATCTGACAGGACACGAACCTGTGTCTGTTTTGCCAATTTAGGGCACCCGCTTACCAACTGAACTGCAGATCCGGTCAGCAGAACTTATGAACTTCTCTATGTCCTATTTATATAAGTCTAAGGTGGAAATAAGGTGTTTTATAGAACATAAGCGACATATCGTGATTTTTCAGGGAAGCATGGTTTAAGTTTTAACGACTGTTTTAAAATATTTACGTCCTGTTTTAAAATTCAATTCTGGGTTTTTTTAATCAAAATTTCCTTCGATCTCACTGAACCTGAAACAGCTAGACTCGATCTGTAGCTCAGTTGGTTAGAGTCCAATCAAATTTGATAATAATAACAAACTTGTGGAGTATTTTTTTATTTTCACAAAAATCATGGTAGCAGAACTCATTCTTTATTGAAGAGTCAATCTAAAATGTGTATTGCAATTTTATTTCGGCTTTAATAGGTTGTTTCTGCTAGGATGTCTATGATCAGTCTTGTATCTAAGTAGCATAGTAATAAAAAAAAATTGGCCGCAAACTTCACCTCGATTCTCCATACAGGCTTTAGCCATTTCTTCAACATCGTTCTTCTGTGTTCCTTCCAGCTGTCCATCAAACAGTAAGGCCGCTTGCTCAGGGTCGTATTTACCGTCCTCGAGCTCTGTCACTCCTGTCAAGTCCAGCAAGCAGCGCACGTAGCACTGAAAATTAGAAGAAATTAAGGAAGCTTTTTTGGTGGTAAGACTTCTCTATGCAGATGCCCGACCGGGTAGCCTACCTAATTCTTGCTCAAGCAGCCTAGCCAGTGTCATAGCCAGTCATCGTTAATTGGACTTAGTTATGCAAACTAGAATCAACCCACAAAATGTCACTTTCGAGATTATTAGATTTTTGTAAAAACAATGTGAAGAAATAAATGGGTAAGTTATTTGAGACAAACAACGTGAGTTATGTGTAGCATCGAGAATGGTATAGGGAAACTATTATATTATACAGCAAGAAATAGAGAAATATCCTTAGAAATATCCTTTTATTTAGTTAACGAGAACCATATTCTAGTTTTCGTAATGAATCTACAGTACTTCGGTACTTGTAACATGAACCCATTTAGCATATTTAAAAAAATACATTATATGAAGTTACGCAGCATGGTTCTTTTTAGCTATTAAAAAGTTACTTATTTAGGGTTAGTACCCTGAAGGACTTTTATTTTCTCCGTTTTGGCTTGGCATATTGCCAGGATCTTTTGTGAGCGGGTAAAGGACACGTCTGGTGTTCTACCTAAATACATAACTCAATTTCACTCGAAGTTTGAGTTGGTTCTTGTTTGCATAACTATGTCCAATTTAGCTAAACTAAATAATAATATGGATATTCCCTTCTACAAATCCTGGGAGTTGGATTATATTTTGGATATGCGTATTATTTATTGAAATTTGAGTACATTGGCGACAAATTATAATTTCCTATTAGGTATTTGCTACACTTAGGTACTACTGGGCACTTACGTATATAAATACTTTAGCCATTGTTACCTATACAATAAATTAACAGAAAACGAAACTGCTGTAAATAAAGTAATAAAACTATCTTTTAATTGAATAAACACAAAAGGTGGTGTTTATTTTCAAGTAAGTACAAGATTTTGCATTCAAAGCAGGTGTTCACATAAACACACACACACGCCACGCTGATACGTTTGTATGAAGTTCCACTACTTTTTAATATGCTAAGTTTGTTGTCTTCCAAATTCCGGACAATTTTACGCTCAAGATACTTAAAATCTTATAACGACACTTCACATTACTAATTGTAATCGATATTGGGTGTTTGATGTACTTGGAAAAATATTTCACGTACCTAAAGACAATCATGCAAACACTGACAAATATGACCGCCTACACATGGAGCCAAATAAAGAGTTAAAATAATTAATATGACCATAGTGTGGACGATTTACGTGCGTAGGTGCCTATTTGGCTCCTTTGGTGTGCGTCGAGAAACCGACCAATGCGACCGCGGTAACGGGATGCGCGAGTTTGGTGTTTGCCATATTTATCGAATACGCAAACTTTAGCCAAATGGTTATCATGCTGGACAGCCACGCAGAGATTTAAAATTGGCCGGGAGAAGTATTTGTATGGCCTACATTTATTTCACTGGTGTGTGGGTGTAATTTGTGGTTGTCTATGTGTGTGTCCATGGCACCCACGATACAGGGTTTCCCTAGTGTTGGATTATGAGTGTGTGGGCGTTATAATTATTATTATTAAACAAGGCGAATACTTTGTCACACATGCCATCTACACATTGTGATTGTAACTGCCTCCGTGGTTACCATACCTGCCTGTCACGCAGAGGTCCCTGGTTCGATTCCCGGGTCGGAAGAAATATTTGTATGGCATACATTTATTTCTCTCGTGAGTTTGGGTGTAATTTGTGGTTGTCTATGTGTGTGTCCATGACACCCGCGACTCAGAGTTTCCATAGTGCGAGATTATGTTGAGTGTGTGCGTTATTGTATGCCAAGTATATCAAATACGAACATGCGAAGTGACACCAGAATAAATTCTGAATTTTGAAATATAATAAAATCAAATGTCAACTTACCTTCGGTGTTTTGGTAGTCTCATCAGCGAAACTACCGCTTTGTTGAAGATCTTCCATGAAAGCTAAAATCACGTTATAAGTAATTAACTATGTTACCCTGTGTTGCTAGAAAGGTTGACACTTGCTTATAAATCAGATGAGTCAGATGCAATCTCTGTTAATTCTGTGTAATTAGTATTCGAATTTTACCTATCGCCTTTCTGAGTTTTGCTATGAGCCTTTCGGAGAAAGAAAATATCGTGATGAAACCTGTACGTTGAAGAAGGTTCACAAAAAAAAAACTCGGAAAACGTGTGATGTCCCCAAACCGCATGATCTTAACCCTGGCCTGAGAACAGACCCGTGCGCAGCAAAAATGGGTTGATGATGATAATTCGAATTTAAAAAAATACAATATACTTAATGAAATTCCCATAGATTGCAAAAGTGCATATTTATCACCAGTGGATAAGATTCAATTTCATTGAACACTGTTTTTGCATACAAACAATGCAATTACAAAATGAAATTACAAAATGATGTTGAGAAAAACTGATTTTTCTTCGCTGGGTCCATGCACATTTGAAGTTGAGTGTTCTTTAATAAAAAATTAAAGGTAAACACACCAATGACCTGGTCTGAATCAAGGAAACTCATATAGGGTTACTATCACAATAGCCAAGGTGCACTACTTAGAACCAATAAAACGGTCACTCATAGATTGGATCCGTCGAGAATCAAACCCAAAGTATAACTTTACGAAGTCTTTAAAATTATAAACGAATTTACTTACAAGCCTCAATCCTAAAAGTCTTATTACACTCCTTTAGAACATTATCGAGTTCAAATAATGGTACAACGTTTTCCTGGGCGTCTGCAGATGGAGATATCTCCTGATCCATCCGCGAAGACGTTTCATTGTCACTGATAGCGTTGGACCAGGTGACTGTTACTGCCAACGCCAATATTAAGAGTAGTTTCGACATGTTCATGTCGCGCTGGTACTCTTAGCCCTGATAGATTACAAATGTATGGGATTTTATAGGAGATTTTAATTCGTGTTCAGACGTTGTCAACATAAGATTTTGAATGTAACTTACGTTTTACACTACACTACAACTTAAGTTTTTGTCATGTGAAAATAATTCTATTTTAGAACATTTTTTTACAACATACCTAAGATTAAATTAGCCTTCAAGTAAAAAATGCCGCTATAAGATCAATTCGTCGATATGAGAGTTACGATGCCACAAACAATCAGAAACATATGATTCTCTAACTTCAAACTCCCCTCTTTATTATCGGAAAAGTATTCTGAATATCACTAAAGCGTGAGACGATGCGACCTCTTTCATCGTCGTCCTACCTTTTTATCTCCGTTTTCTCAATTCCTGGCCACTTAATCTTCAAATTTTGAATCGTCTCTAATTCTTTTTCTTCACCATTCTTTCTTCCTTCGTTCCGTCGTCACTGCATACGAAATTCTCGAAGAGAGCAGACGTGTTCAATCATGTAAATAAAAACTTAAAACGCAGCAATATATTTCATACGAATACATTTTACACAATTACCCCTTTTGGGGTAAGTTCACTAATCACATAATAATAAATTAATAAATTCTAATCTGTAGGTAGTGTTTTTATATTATTTTACCTGTTTTTATACCATTGTTTTTGTTGTACCTGTCCTTCCTTTCTTCTTTCCTTCACGTTTTCCCTACTGTTATACCTTTTACTATAAATTATGTGAACCGAGCGTTACCGTCTATCATTTTTAAGCGAGACGCGTTTCTGAGCGTGGTGCAGGGTCAAAAACACACCAAGCTAGAGAGGCTTTAAATGTTAATTTTTAATTTTAAATTCAACTAGTGATAAAAACGGTCCAAAGTTCAAAGTGCCAACCTCGATATGCTCGCAAATGAGAATGTAGCAGGCAGAGCAGGTATTTTTTTATAATATCATGTGATGGGACGAACAAGTTGTAGGCCTGGTGGTAAGCGACACGCCTTCCATAACAGTTTAGCTTTAAATCGCAAAGATCGGCGAGGCACTGCCACAGCACCCGTCACCCTGATTCATAAGTTGATAAGTCCCTTGTGCCTGTAATTTGGCGGCAGAAATAAGTAAGGTGGCTGTACTTCCCTGGACTAACTCTTTCTACTGCTACTATAACTACCCAGCGGAATCCTGCACAGAAAACCCCTAGTGGCGACGCCTGTGACAAAATGTTGTGAACCTCTGAAGTTGATTACAATATGTAATGAGATTAGATGAACGATTTAAACGATAGGAAGCGATTGGGACAGCCATTGTTGTTAATTGACTGTGCTAACCAAATTGATTCCTGAAACTGCTTTTAGTATTGTGTACAATCGTGATTTGCGTGCACTCTCAGTCACGTAGTCAGTGCGATGAAGTACTCACTATTGCAATGTCAATATCATAATGATGCTTTTAAACTGACATCTTATGTAAGAGTTAAGCTCTTGTCAATGGAGTAGTTGCTAAATATCTCTGTTCTAACTTTGATTTCCTGATACGAGACAACATTTTCTTTTTCTCTTATCTGATCGAAATAAATTCATCTCGGTCTAATGACGTTTCTAAGAAAACTGTCGTGTGGTATCAGATGCCCTAGATAGCTTTAGATTCCACACAAATGTGATATGATCGATGATGATGTATTCCATAACATTTAAGTTTATTTGAAAAGAACGACCACTAGAGTTTCTTGCTCGTTCTTCTCAGGGAAGTTACATAGTGACTTAAACAGTAGCAGCAGTAACTTTAAAAATGACGTTTTGAAGTGTAAATTAATTTTATCTACGGAATAAATTATTTTTTTATTTGATTTGTTTGTACAAACGTCCTCTTTGGTTCTCTCTTGTCTGACATACTCGTACCACATAGAGTGCTTTTTTTTAAATGAGACAGTATGGGAATAAATTAGTAACTTCTGCTGTTCAAGTTTGTTTTTTCTTCCTTTACAATGAAACTGAGTCTATTAGTATAAAAAAATTAATCAATTTTATTCTTACCTACTTTGGCTGTCCCTTTTTTTTCGCCCCACACAATGACATGATCCCTTCATGAAACCGAGTCGATTAACACTAAACAAAATTTGATCACTTTTATTAATTTTTAGGGACAACACACGCTCGACCAAAAAATTTACTATGCAAAAATTGTTCGCACCAAAAAAGACTTAACGGTTCCTAAAACAGTTTCCTTATATCTTCTCTGGTTTCGAATTGCCCCATACTGACCTTAAAAAAAAACACTCTGTATACCTATATAACGAATTCTTAGGTTTTCGCATTTTCAGTAGGTTTTCGATATTACTCTACATTGGAAATGAAACCATTATATCGGATCTAAATTGCGTATGTTTGCTTTTTAAAAAAAAAACAAGTTAAAATTGAAAATTAAAATGGAAATTACTTCTTCTCGTATTGTAGATGGCATACACGATGATGCTTGCCATCGTGGTGAAGAAAGGATTTGCCAATTCGGGCAAGGCACTCGCCGATCGTTGCCCAGGATGCGCCAGACGTACAGGAAAGGCATGGTACATCGTGCGGGGAGGATCCCTTCGTGCACCCGTGCCCCTGTGGAAATTACTTTTTTTTTACAAAACCCCGCAGTAGGGAAACCCTGTGTCATAAACATACACATAGACAACCACAAATTACACCCAAACTCACAACAGAAATAAATGTAGGACATATAAATATTTCTCCCGCCTCGTGAATCGAACCCGGGAACCCCGCGTGCGCGTAACCGTTTGGCCACGGAAGCTGTGGTTTCATACATTCTAGCCACGTGCCGCATTTTAACTTAAATACATAATCCACACTTTATTTCACGTAGCACGTTACCAACTGTCCACCGATACACTACATCAAGGAACAATTTGTCACCACATTTGATTTGTTGCTCGCATGATGACAAATGAATAAAATAATATATAAACTCAGTAAATTAGTTATAAGATCGATTATTGTCTATTATTAGAAACTAAGCAGTCACTGTGTTAGTTTGAATAAAGTTTTTTTTTAAATAATCCTCTGGCCAGTCACTTATTTGGCGCAGCCGGTAGGATATTCGAGGAATTGACTTCAGTGAAGTAAAAAACATTCTCCATAAAATAAGTGATAGTGACAACGAGCCGGCGGACCTTGACTTTACAGTGAGCAATAAAAAAAGTGTGGGAACTTAAGCCTTTACGTTTTTCTAATAATGGTAGTATTAGGTTTTGTCTGTTTCAAATTATATAATAAGATTCCACCCTTACAGAATTCTCTGAAGGCTTCATCGTCACACTCAGATAATTTCTCACTTGGAGAGGGAGGAGTTAAGGTTAATGAACGTGGCTCCTTCCGTTTTGTCAGCACGCCTAACTGTGCCAGTTGCTCTCATGCTGACAAATGAATAAAATAATATATAATCTCTGTAAATTAGTTTCAAGATCGATTATTGTAACTAAGCAGTCACTCTGTCAGTTTGAATAAAGTTTTTTAACTAATCTTCTGGCCAGTCCCTTATTTCGCGCGTACCCGCCGCCGCTCCCGCGCCTGCACTCTGGATGAGCCCTAGGACTCAGCAATTTCCAAACTTGCACGAGTGCGCGAAAGTAGCCTCCCATAACGTACCACTCCTTTCCTGGGCAACAATTGGCGAGGACACGGTGACAAGCATAATAGTGTACGCCAGTGTTTCCCACACATTGTTCTGCCCTGGCCCGGTAATTTTCATACTGCTTCTTCGTGACCCACTCAATACTTTTAAATCCAAGCTGGTTACATTAAATAAAATAAATTACATTTATTGTTAGTAAAAATGTTGTACTAATATTATTTCGGTATCGCTTATTAATTGCGAAGTATGGAGCTGCTGCTTATTTTTTACTAAAGAATCCAAGTTAGCGGAAAATGACGAAAGTTTTATTTAGGTCTGGTTCCACTTCAACAAGGCGGGAATGTGGCGACCCACCAAATGGGAAACGCTGGTGTATGCCATCGATAGAAGAAGAAGTAATTTTCAATATAACCGCTTAATATTAATTATTAATTAAAACTAGTATTTGAGTATATCCATTGACTTACAATTATATGGACGTCGGGTCCGCGCTAAAAAGTGTCCGAACTTATAGGGCGTTAAAATCGTATACAGAGCGTCATTCACGCTTTAGTCTTCGTTTGTTCGACTGACAGCGAAGCAAGCAAAATTAGACAGTACTGCGATGACATTACAATTTAAATTCAACGTTTTAGCTTTTTCATATTCCTTTACAAGTCACTACGTTTAAATAGGTTGACTTGGGACATTTTTTTCGTGGTTTTTGTATTAGACCCGTCGTCCATTTATTTGTAAGTCAATGATTTAAATATAAAAAAACTCAATTGTCGTTTGATGGTCTTTTCGTTATCAAAGTCGTGTCCATTCAAACAAGTCTGTAAAGACCGAAACTAATGAAAATCTGAAGGGGCTATGTCGGGCGAATACGGTGGATGAGATAATACATTCCAATTTAAGTGCAATAGTTTTGACAGCTTTGTAAAGATGCATGTGGTTTGTAATCATCATGGTGAAATCATTATCATAATGACATTTTCACGATTCACCAGTTCTGGATGTTTTTCATGAATTTATGAACTTAAAACTTTGCCGCCTATTGTTAATGTTCTAGAAAACATTAGTTTTAAAATGACCATAGACAACATTTTAAAGGAAAAAGTTTCTTTTTTTGTTTAAAGTTTGCTCAAAAATCACTTGGACTTTTTGAGCAATCTATAATTTTGGAAAAAAAAATATTTATAGCCAAATTGCATTTACTTTTTGTCTGACTCAGCATTTCATAAATTCATTATTAATCAACTCGCACACGAAAGCAAATACTGGCATTACT